CTCGGAAACAGCAGTAAGTATCTTACTATAACCGTTACGAAACCATGCATCTAAAGACGATTACGTTTTATTTAACAAAACTCGTACGTCATAAAATAATAATTTCCATACACAAATAACCGTCGTCCATGCAACATAAAGTAGATCACCTCATTTGTTATGGTAGGTTATCCGATTATAACAAATTTTGAACAGTGCACGAAATTCTTTGATGTCGCCGACAGCTCTAGTTCAAAGCACGCGCCTCGCACCACTACCTGCTTTTCACTTGACATTAAGGAATGTAAGATCACAGAATCATATATTGCTACCTACGTATGGTTATTACATTAATTTAACCCAATTTAATCAAACTTGAACCCATTGAATTTATTACAAAGATACATTTATCTTAGGTATTTGGACATACAATTTTAGAAACGCCAAAAGCACCTCGGAGTAGCAGCTTTCTCGCTGAAGTCATGTTTTGTGATTATATTACTAACCTAAAGGACCTTTTCGATGAAATATGACCATATCTAAAGAGTAAACAATCGTATCCTACTAATCTGAATTTGTTTATTATTTCGACACAAGTGAACTTAGCGATACGATATTTACGTCCCTGTCGTATTCATTTAATCTTACCGAACTAGTACGACAATGTGCGGCGTTGCCGTTTTTGACCGTCGTCTAGTATGAATGAATTTGCAATGGTGTTAAATTTATCGATCAATTTTATTTCAATCATACATGTTACACCTATACCCTTACACTATAAATATCCCTAACGTTTTGTCTACGTTGTATAATAGTCAGTGGTAAAATTTCAAAACTGAAACAAGGCATCGCTTCAATCAATCAGCTTTCAAAGTGCTTCGGACATCACATCGTTGAAGTATATTATCTCCTGTAGCTGTTTTCTATCTTGGTAAAAGAGATTATTCGTATTGTAAGCCACACTACAAAGAACCCAGAACAAAGTATAAGTATCACTTTGTGGTTCGAATAGACAATTTTACCTATTTTGAGTTAAGAAATGGGTTTTTATACTTTATTTTTTCCGTGTTTCACAAACTGCTAAAAAGTTTTTATAAACTTAATACTATCGGCAGCCCCAAAATTAAAAGGATTTTTGTGTCATTTTTGAGACAATACAATACTCTAGTAATCACTAATCTCGAATAAAACATCTCGCATTCAAAACGGTTTAAACCGATTTGTACGAATTACGATACTCGTATGAACATAAAAAATGTCATACGAGATCGTGTTTATACTAGTCGAGTTTCTCGTAAGTAAGAATCTTCTTACTAAAATGTCGATGTGTAAAGACACAGGAAATTATCGCCTAGCGATAAATCACTGGCGATTCTCGTATGACATAATCGTAGGTGAGAATTTAGTTCTTGCCTGTATGTAAACATTTTGATACATTATGCTATGGCGATTATTGCTGGTTATCACCAGCGTGCGATTGCGTACGATTTCTCGCACCAAAACGTGCGAGAAACTCTCTCCATCTAAATGGGCCTTAATAGTCATAAATTTACGTTTATATCCTTTAAATACATTATTATATTATTTTAATTATTATTCTCTCTCTCAGAAGACAAATTAAAAATGATAGGAAGCTAGTCGTCAGCCATCCTTTAGTAATAAATGGTGTAACTGACTTGTTTTAAAGACACATAGTAGAATCTTTTAACACCTCGTAATTTTATACTTATTTTAATTTTCTTAAAAGTTTCGAGTTATTTTTATAAAGCCTGCCGTTTGATGTTTTGTATACATGGCAGGAACAAACTGAAAATCTACAAATTATTTTAAAATATATTTTATATTTTAAAACACCCGATTATCGAACTAGTAACAACATACGTGATGATTTTACTCTTAAACAATATATGATAAATAAATATAAAACGATAAATTTTACCAACGCTTTATTTAAGGTAAAACTTAGTTTTGTTTCTTTAAAAAATAAATAAAGTTGGCTTTAAGTAAAATTTGCAATTTTTTAGTTATCTATATAATATGTACCTCGAAATACTTCCAAAGACCTAATCAAATTTTTGATAGGTTTGACAAAGTCCTATTCGTATGTAAGACATATAACTTTAGCTGTTGACAGGTCAAGTTGACAATTACCCACTTTCCATACGATGGGTAAATTGTATTCTATTCGATTTTACGTATTGTTCGTGCAAAGCCTGGTGATGAATTTATACCTGATATAGACTCCTCGCTTGTGCCAGATGCAGCAAATCTTCTGCAGTCGCAATACCACTCCCGAAATTTACGAAGCCATGATTTTTTTCCTTCAACCACACGCCGTGTATCATGCATTTTACCCATCATAATTAATCGAAATGAAGGAGATTGTTGCGGTCATGGTGTAACCATGGTGCAACGTGGCCCAGGTTCGCAACGGTTTTTATTTAGCGACCTTCAATAGAAGAGCCTATCTTAAAGACTGGCAACACACTTGCAAATCTCCTGGTGGTGCATGTGTCCATGGGCGGCGGTATCCACTTATAACTAGTGACCAACCTGTTATTTTGCCTCCTGTCCCATAAAATACGCATAACCAAGTAGGACAGTCATTAAAGTTACAACATACTTTAATTTAATTAAAAAATTCCCAACACGCAAGTATTGTGGCGAAAAGTCAGACGCTGTAAATTAAAGTGGAAACATGGTTTAAATATTTCATATGAATACTTATTACTCTAACACGAACATTAATTTTTGTTCGAGTTAAACCCTTTTTAAAGCTTGCTTGTTAAAAGCGACTAAAACATCGTGAATAAGGTAACTTATTTGTAAAGTTATAAATATTTATTCATCTTTATTTCACCATAAAGTATGGTATTTTATATCTTATTTATCCCAGATTCGGTGAAGACATACTCCGATTATTTGACGTATACAGTTAAACGTATATAGTTTTCAGGTATATACCTATTTGATTATTCAAGAGTCTAACGCCTCGGTTATATTAGCCAGTTTATTATCCAAGTGGCTCAAAACAATATACATACCGTAAAGCACTACTACTACGCCTAAAATAATCTGGAAGCAATAATTGCGAAAATTTCCAAATATCGAAAATGGGACAGGAGTAAGTAAAAAATATTGTAATTAATTAGTCCTTCATTAAGCAAAGCTATACGAGTAGGTACATATTCTTTTAAATACGAAGAAAGAAGTCCTTTTTATAATCTGTATGATACGAATATTACATGGAAATGACGCAGCGTAATCCCTTTTGAAATGAAAATTAATTAAATTCTTAAACAGGCTACTATCAAATGGCTTCAAAGATTTAATACATTTTCATATAAAAATTAAAAATCGTACCAATATCATATCTCAGGTTTATAACCAATGTTATCTACAAAAAATAATACCAGTACGAGCTTGTGCAGTCTATAAACCTTGGGACTAGTATTTAATCGAGTAATTCAATAGCACTTTACTTTGCACGCTTCTTGCATTTGTTTGAACATTAAATTATTATGATCTCAATATTTAAACTAAAATGTTTTACAAATAGAGAACAAAATAAAGAAATATAAGTATATGCTTGTCAGAGCCGCCGTTTGCTAAGTGTAACATAAATTTACCATTGTGTGGAGCCAAAAACAGGTCAATCGAGAATGACATGTAAGATTATAATTTTTAAAAGACCGGGTACGTACTTGCGATCCACGTCTCCCTAAGAGACTGATTCGAGACGGCAGTTATCACTAACTCTCGTATGTTAATTCCAATACGTTTTTTATATAAGAGCTTCAGTCGAAACTCAGTACTAAGTCTCTGAGGGTTACCTAGCTAGCAGCTAGGCTAGCAGCTTCACTCCATTTGAAAAATTAGTCTTAAATATTCTGATTTATTGTTAGTATTAATATTATTCAGAAGAGCGACTTTCCTGTTAAATATTGATTCGTTCATTTTTTATCACGTACATAATTACACAAAAAATTTGCTTTTAGGGTTATTAGTAAACCCAATCCAAATGTTAGTAAATCCACCCTTGACACCACGTTTTAATAAAGGATAGGCGATATATACGGAAACCGTTGTGTTCTTTTTTTAACGTTTCATTGTTGATAACGTTTATAAATAAGTCTTACATTTAATGTTTAGTCCTTCGCCAATCTTATGACACTAAGGGTCTGTTTCACAATGTATGGATAAAGTACCAAATAGCTATGCAACACATTAATTATTTGGAAGATAAATTGTGCTATTTGACATTCATCGGACTTTATGTGACGTATAGCGCTATCTGACAGTCGTGAAACGCAACAATAGTGTTTATCCTACCAATAAGTAATAAATAGCTAATTTGGAACTTATGTAGAACTTATCCGTACATTGTGAAACAGACCCTAAAAATGTTTATGTTTATAGAACTGGGTTATTATTACAGCACAATCCTCAAAAAATATATTACATCATTTATTCCGAAATGTTTGCAATATATTATACATAAATCATCATTACTATGAATGTTTAAAGACATTTTAGTGTGTGTTTTCTTTAAATGAGGAACTTCTTTAATTGCGCTTATATAGGTCAAGACCTCAGAAAACATAGCTTTAGAGTTACGTTATATTTAAGACTTAATTAAATAGTGCTTAAATCCGTCCTACATAAGCTTTCGCAATATGGAATATTTACTTTCTTCAGAGTATTGAACTTAATGTTAATGACAATTTACCTAATTTATTTATTTTACCAACGTTTTAATAAGCTGGAAATGTGAAAGTTTGAAGATTAATGGAACATAGGACATATTTCGATGATATTTTTTAATACAAGTAGATCTAATTATGTGCTGCCTAAAATTATAGTCCGCACAAACTTCTCAAGCCTCAGGGTAGTACTGCGCCCAATTATATTAATCTGTGATCTCTCGCACACATCTAAGACTTAACAGCCCCTTCTGCACCAGTATTTCTGTACAAATTACCAATCATGTTTCAATTAAACTAAGCCTATGAGAAAATGTATTATTCAGTCTCGTCTTTAAAACCCAGTAGTACCTAGTGGAGAACAAGTTCAATTATATTTATAATTTTTAAATTCGTCACGGGGCCACGACACTTCCCAATCTTCTGTCCTTACCACCGCATAATTAGAATTGTTTGTCAGGTATCGAACACACTCCATACGCTTACTATTATATTCATACATGTATGAAAAAGTATTGATCTGATACGTACAAGTTATGTTTTCTTGTATTGAATTTCTCTTGTCTGCGTAGAGAATTCTCGCATTTTTTTGAATATAATAAAAAAACTTACCGGTACAGGTTGGTTGTCGTCGTCTACGAGAGAATCAGTGATGGGGATCATCCCATCGTCGACCACCACCTGAAGACCGAGCCGGTACTTCCCCACCACACGTGAAGCGACAAAGCGCTGTTTCTCCACAAGGGTGATGGTGAGGAGTTCCCCTTTATCTATTGGCGTCGTAATGTGCCATACGAAAGTCTGAAAAGAAATCATATATTGATCCATTTGAAGATTTTCATACGTTTAGATTCACAGAAAGATGTAGTCTGAGAAAAAATATCGTTCGATTTACAATCTACTACATTTTCCATTGAAAGGTCATTGATATTTGGTGCCTAAACGTGTACCCCAGGGGGATACCACACGTCTCCGCTGTGGAGAAACCCTCTCTGGGCGTCCACCATCGGAACGATCTGTATTCAGTGAATGCACAGACTGCCCTTCGTATTCTGTCTTTCTTTGCGTCCTACCCTTGGGGGCCTACATGCTTTTCGTCGGAAGCTCCAGATTCCGTCGCTGACTTTGTCCCCGAAGTGGTCCGAAGTGCTGGAAGACCGCTTCGATACATCCGATCCCTAAAAAAGGCGAGCGCTCCGATCCGCCTATTATCGTCCAATAGCTAAAGCCTTGTTCTCCAAAATAATGGAATCCATCAATAACAGCCAGCTCTTCAATAGCATCTTCTACCGCATTTACTTTGGAGAGTGTTCAGAGGTGATGTTTCATGTTAGGACTACTGCAGCTGAGTTTCATCATCGGACATCGAGTCAGAATACAAAATTCCACCCGTATCACCTCGACGTCCGCCGTTCCACAACTGCGCGTTTTATGCCGTTTATCTCGCCCACCACCACTATGTGGAACCAGCTGCCCACTGAAGTTATTCTGAACCAATTCGACCTAGGATCGTTCAAGAAAAGTGCGAACCAATTCTTGACTGGCATTGAGAGTGTCGATGGGCGGGGCGGTATCACTTAACATCAGGTGAGCCTCCTGTGGTCTATAAAAAAAACAGACAGAAATCTGAGGCTCAAACCTAAAAAGGTTGTATGCCACTGATTGCTTTTTTAAACGCCAGTTGCTGGTGATTGCCAATGCAGACATGTTCATGGTTGCAGATTATGATGGCAAATGATTCTATAATGCATCTGTCTTAGGAGGGCGTTTCAGTTTTAAAATCTCGACTTAAATTATGTTCATAAACGTATGACCAACGAAACTGTACAAAATCGCTCATCTTAAAATAGTTTTGTTTTGCTACGTTTTTCGTTCAATATCAACAATCCTGTCACATAAATGTACAATACTAGACAGGACTGCCAGCTTTTGTTAGGTTTAGCTTTGTGATGTTGGAATTCTATCCACGCATAACATTCTTGCCGTTTTCAATAAAATTCCTATTTGGGCATTTTGATGTAAATAGTCTTATATTTATGTCATATTATAGGTAAAATAGAGATAAAACATCTCATCAGTATTTATTTAGTAATTACTGAAGATGTTTACTCTTCCTTTTGTAAAAGATTAGGCGGATAAATTCTGCGTCACTTGAAGATTTTTCTTTGCCTACCAAACACAAACAACTATTATATCCCCAGATTGAAACTGTTAAACACATACAAGTCCGTGCCCAACTGACTAATTCGCCATTATTACCTGATTTACAGTGATGAGCTCATCATGATCTAATATTGTAGCAGAGGTTTTCTTTTGACCTGTAACAAAGACATTTCTATTATTATTAAATATATGCGAGAGATATAGGTAAAAGAGGAAAACAAATGTAGCATGTTATAATAATTTTTACGGGCCCAAAGCCTTTGCAGTCAAATTGAATCTAGTCGCGTTGATTGTGGTGGTTACTCCGAGATATGTGTTAAACTACCTTGCGCTCTTCGCGAATCTTTGGGCCAGTAAGGAAACTTGTTACCGGATTCTCCTTGAAAAGTTGGAGGACTAGTTAAGCTTGTTAGACATTGCTCATAATATTATTTAAGATTTACGCGAGTATTAATTACACATTAAAATAAACGCCTTTAGCGGATATTTTCGTTTAAATGTAACAGTAGGCAAAACGGGCAAGCGGCTCACCTCATGTCAAGTGATACCGCCGCCAATGGACACTCTCTTTCTACTATTTGTCAAATTGTAATTTAACCAGGATAATTGTTGCAACATATCATTGATATGCAGAATAAACAGGGTCGGGGATAGGACACAGCTTTGTGGGATCCCAGCGTGCACGGGTTTAAGGTCGGAACATGCTCCGTCGATGACGGCTTTGATGCTCCTATCAGCGAGAAATCCAGTTGCACAATTTCTCGGGAGCCCATAGGCTGGAAGCTTCTAGAGCAGTGCTCTGAGCCCCACCCGATCGAAGGCTTTCGCTATGCTTACCGCCAGCGTCTTCCCTTGGACTCAATTGCCTCTGCCCACCTATAGAGGCCGTAGAGCAATGACCCCGCAATGGTCCGATGAACCCAATGGCGAGTCAACAGAGACTTGGTAGTTATCCAAATGTGAAGTTAGCAGATGATCCAACAACGATGGTTAATGACCATCCACATCTGAGACCATTTTCGTCAAGTCGTAAGCTAAAGCAAAACCGTGAAAGGATCTTCCCGCGTGATCGGTGTTTTCAGATCCGACCCAATCATTTTCATTTAGCTTTATAAAATTGAAATAAATTAAGAAAAGAAGAGAAGGAAAGAGTGAAGGCTTTAAGGCCTGGCCTATAATTACTATATTTCGCATATGTCATAATAATCAGTGGCGCAGGAAGCCTTAGTCTGAGCCTCAGAGATTTGTATCTATTTTGTGTTCATTTGCTTTTTCGTATAGACAAGTAAGTGGTCAGCCTTATGGGTCCGACACACGCCGTCGCCTATTTTCGTCCTAGGTACGCCGAATTCCTCACGATGATATTCACGTGAGGATGTGACAATACAAAGAGGAATAATCTGATTGTACTTCATTTATTTATTTAGATTTTAGATTAGCCGTCTTGACCGGATTCTGTGTCATAAATGTGCATAGAAATCCGAATATTTTTTAGTAATTTATCAAATGCGCTGCAATAAACGCAAAAACCAACTTCATCTATCTCATAAAAAAGAAATAGTGAATTGCATAATAACATACATTTGAACAAGTTTGTCAATTCAATGCCGAACAATTTGCAATAGTTTAATCAAATTGAAGGATAAATGGAAATTTACGTCCCAGTTGGCTTTCCAGGACCGGTTTCAGGAGAAAAGGAAATAAGTTTGTAATTGTGTTTACTTTACTACAAAGTGAGGTTTCTTAATGTGTCTTTGTACGAAAATAAAGTTTTTATGTTAACTTCTTATTATTGCTGTCATCGTCTAGGGTAGATACATAATAAGTATTATTCCAAAGATGGTACAACTATTGTTAGACTTCAATATACGCTACCCTACCCCCAGTACTATATTCAAAATCTTTTATAGAAAAGAAGTCTGTCGAATTCAGTAGAAAAAATTATGACTATGTTATGATGCAAGACTTTGTTCAGGACTTGACTTTGAGTGATGTATCTGCGAACAGCGGGTAACGTCACATTATATATTATCCTAATATGCATGCTAACAGTGTCGATCAATTTAGACTCGTGACCTGGAAATAGATATAAAGAAATTTCGTTCCCTCTGCAAAGCGAAAAAATCGTAGATGTTTTATACTTCACCTGACGATAATTTCCTTCACAACAACAGCAAGAAGGCTTAATAAGTAAGAAAAAATTTTTGGTGCACGGCTAGGGTCGGTAACCTTATTTTACGTTCAAATGTTTATTTCATATAGAGCAGTGTTGGTCTACTGGCGTCAGCGTGCAACTCTCATCCCTGAGGTCGTAGGTTCGATCCTCGGTTGACTTTCTTTCTAAGTGCGCATTTAACATTCGCTCGAATGGTGGAGGAAACGGGCTTGCCTTAGACCCTAAAAGTTGACGGCGTGTGTCAGGCACAGGAAGGTGATGACCTACTTGCTTATTAGATTAACAATGAAATTATAATGAAACAGATAGAGAAATCTGAGGCCCAGACCTAGAAAGGTTGTAGCGCCACTGATTATTTATTATTATGTTTATTTCATATAACACAAACAAATTTTGTATTTTCATACAAAATATTTATTAAGAAGATAGCTTGTAGGCCCTTCTGTTACACAAGTATTGGGGCCGTGGTGACCAATTTATTACACGTGACCTGTGCCCTTACTCTGTTACTTTCAATAGTGATACCGACAGCGATCCCAACCACACTAATTAGTTGTTGTACCGCGCGATCCCAAGGCTACGATACCAGCGATACGGATATTTCGAGGAATACATTGAACTTACAAAAAGTAACAGATATTGTTGCTCGCTTACCAATTATCCAAAACTCCCTTTTACATGAATCACATCATGCATTATTTTCAAGGAAGCACTTTATGTCAATACTTCATGAATGTCTAGAATTTTACCTTAGCTAATTTCATGTTTAAAATAAGCTTTCTCGAGTCACTTTGACTAAAGAAAATAGCGAGCTTATATTTCAAAGAAATTTTTCTTTGAAATGTAATGCTGCCTAGACTTTTCATAATGCTTTTTAATAATGCCGCTTAATATACGCCTAGACTTTTCATGTCAAGCTTTCAAAGGACAAAAGCTTCGTAAATTGCACCTGTTATTCAAGCCGTGGGACGTCGTAGAATTAATCACTTTTTTTTTAAAAAGACAATTCACACCAATTGACCTAGTCCCATGCTAAGCTGGTGAAGCTTGTGTTATGGGTACTAGGTAACGGATATACATACATACTATACATATATATATATATATATTTATAGACATATAAATACATATTTAAACACCCAAGACCTAAGCACAACACCAAATGCTCATCACATCGATGTTCGTCTCAGCCGGGGATCGAACCCGGGACCCATGGATTCGCAGTCAGGGGTACTAACCACTAGACCAATGAGTCGTCGAACTTACTTAAATAGTTTTATTTTATGGAATTACCATCTATGACTGGCGATATAGTTGTATCGAAATCGCTTAATGATATTCAAGATTTATTGCAAGTTAGGCTGTATCGTTAGTTTCTATGGGTTTTATGTAAATTGTAAACGAAATAACTTATATTAATTATTTATTGTACAGTCTATTTATTCTGAATACTTTCAAAGAATACATCTTATCCTGATGGAAAATCACGATTTTATCGTTTACAAAACACTTTTTGAAACGTGTTATGATTGAAGGAATGTTATGATTGTGAGGAACTTGAATGCTATTTATAATTTATAGATTTAATGAAAAAAAAATAACATGAATTTTAACAATTTCAATATTTCATTACCGTTTAAACTTCGTAAACATATAATCAAAGAGTGGGCAAAGATTTGTAATCATGAAACGTTAATAAAATATAATTAAAACCTTTTTGTAATAATATTGTTTAGTAATTACTAAACATGGTACGTATGCATCATAAGGTATATTTTTGGGTACAGTAGGTATCTACCTAAATAAGCCCTGAGTAAGAACTAATTAAACCTAATCTGTGCCTACATACGTCACCAAAACAATACTACAGCTCGTCTCATATGAAAAAATAATATCAGTTTGGTAGACGGGAGAAGGCCATATAATTAATAATAAAGAAGGGTTTTAAATTTGCGCCCAACTTATCTACTCGGCAACCTCAACTTGGCAATTATTCCTTTCCCGAATTTGAATAAGCTACATTAGTGTAAAACCCCTTTTTTGAATTGAGTACATTGATATACAAAAAACCCAAGATGCACAGTCTCGAATAAAAGTAACGCTCGAAAGTGTCCCGAAACACTATTTCTGTCCATAACAGTATATGTTACAAGCGTATATTATTGCAAAATCAACCTTACGCGAATTGCTTAAAGTTGTTATTACAACGCAGTGTATACGTACTTAAAGCAATAAAATTTTACGACCGACCGTGGTCGGTAGGACAAGGTACTGAGTGGAGTCGAACATGACTTTTTTATTTACAACTATTTAACATAATTTTAAATTTATCCGACTTTTCGGGTGCTTTACAGCGTGAGTGGTCACGGTGACTGAAGACAAAAGGTGTTGGATGTTAAATAGTTGTAAATTTATTATAATACATAACATTAAACCGGTTAAAAAGTTTTTTCTTTAAATTAAAAAAAAATGTTAAATTGGCTACCTCCTGACCCACACTTTATATAGCGTAAATATATTTGTCAAAAACTACACAAAAAAGTTCAAGAGTACATAAATTTATTTATAAAAAAAAACACAAATAAATAACATCGACTCCACTTATAGACGCGAGACTATTTGAAATGAGCGCACAATTTAGAATGTTGCGCTCATTTTTTGAGGACGTTTTTTAGACGTTGATTGTGCATCTTGGGTTTTTGTATATCAATGATTGAGTACCATTTTAAGACTACATAATTTTCACTCGCATCAAAAAAGGATTAAATGCAGATTACCTTTACGTTATAGTAACTAGACTCATATATTTAATAAAACAATTTTTTACCGGATTACCGGTTATGTATTTACAATTATTTCACATAATTTTAAATTTAACAGACGTTTCGCGTGCTTTACAGCGTCACGGTGACTTAAGACAAAATGTGTTGAATGTCAAAAAGTATCACAGCTGTAGAAAAAGTTGTATTATCTGTATTT